TATATGTGGTAGTAAAACAACCAAATTTGGGCATGTGACATCAATTATTAGCGCTCCAAGCGGTGACGGAAATCGATAACCAAAATGCTTAGGGGCGTGTAGGTTGGTGACTACCGGGGTACGAGACGGCTCGAGGCATGTGGGAGGGGAGGTGCAGTTACGAAACCTGGCATAAAATGTTCTATCGCCCTGTTATCTACTTCTGATATTATGTATATTACCTGCCGAAACAATAACTGGCCACCCTTGACTACGGTGCTGGCAGCTTTTACTGGTACACTGCCACAAATCATTTTGAAGGTACTTGATTACAAATGGTACAACTACAAGTATCTCAGTTCTGCAATTTATTCATCACAGAACTACTGGTCACGGAACTTCAGCAGCCAATTCTAAAGTTGGACCTGCAACATAAAATCAGCAGTTATGATTGATATCCTATGATATATGTATATCAAGAGTCCATAATACTAATAGAACATTTCCATTATCTACTCCTGGTGTATATGTATATATTATACAGTATAATGTCTATATTACAGCAATATATACAACTTACAAGGTTATATGTACAGCAGTATATGTACCATTCTAGCATTTCTTCTAAACTGTAAGATTGTATTTCTTATCTCGTATCTGGGGACTCGCGTTCCCCACAATGTAACATGTATATAATGAAATAATACACTGTCACTGTTGTATGTTAGAACTCCGATACAATGTAATTTAGATACAATGCAACATCGTCACTAGCTCTAGTACTATATAGCCCGCGTTCATAAACTGCCGCAGGCCTGCATAAAGGCCTCATAAAGGCCTGCGGCAGTTTATGAACGCGGGCTATAGTACTAGAGCTATATCGACACAATATAAGGCTAAGAAGTAAGGGTATTTGAACATGCGCAAGCATGTCGAATATTATTACTAATACTAATAGACTAGTACTACTACTAGCATGATATAGCTCACCGTCTGTAAAGGATATACGTGACTGAACGTTGTCGATATGCTACCTGTTTCGTAACACACACACGGCACTACAGCTGAGTTCATGAACACACCGATAAATGTATACTGCCTGCAACTGGCCGTCATGGGAACGTACGCGCGCAACTTATGGACGAGCGCATGCGCAGTACATCGCTGTTAGCACGATAACCAGTCTATGAATAGGTCCAAGAGCAGCGTAGTTTTATCTAACCTGTATGAGCTACGGGGGGGGGGCACGTGCCCCTCAAAAATTTTCTGTGCCCCCCCAGTTGCCCCGCACTGAAAATTCATGTTTGATAAAAAAAATTTGAATTAAAAACAATGCCGTTAGAACAGAACAAAGAAACAAAGAACAAAGAACAAGAACAGTTACAAAGAAAGAGGGTTCGAACCACATCTCAGTAAAATTATATATTGTGCCCCCCCACGAAAATGTAGGGCCCCCAGTGCCCCCCCCCCCGCTGAAAAAATCCTAGCTACGCCACTGCTGTATGATACAGGCGGTATGTTCCGCTTCACTAACGAACCATTAGTGTAGTGAAGCGGAACCGGTATTGGTACCGTTTATTGGTACCTCGCACCGTTTCCGTGCATCTGCGCATGCTCAGTGCGAGCGGTCGGTCACGACCAACGACCACTGATCTCTATAATATAATAAAGATTATATACCTATTATAGCGATCAGTGATCACGACCAAGGCCAAGAAATATTTAGTAGGTCTCAAGGGAGAGATAAAAAATATAGAAATAAGTTGTGGATATAGAAATCAGTTAACCCTAACCCTAACCATAATCCTAATTCCCTATCCCTAATTCTAAAATAAAACAAAATTAGCCAAAAATAATAAAAAATATAATAAATAAGAGACAAAATTAGCCAATCAGAGCGTCCCCTAGCGGATCACTATCTCTCCCCTAAATTCTTGGATATTTGCAGGAGTGAATAATAATAGATTAAATCATGCGTGAATCGAGTCAATCGACACAGGACCATATAGATACTACTAGCTACCCCTTGGACTGAGCATTGGTTGTTTTATGCCAGGCGGTATGAATGTCACCTTGTGGGTACATTCGGTGTGGTTTGTAGAGGCCCCAGCATGGTTGTGTGTGTGCGTGTGTGTGTGTGGTGCGTGCGTCTGTGAGAGAGAGAGAATGTGTGCGCACGTGCATGTTTGCGCGTGTACGTCAAAGGGTTTGCGCGTGTACGTCAAAGGGTTTGCGACTTTTGAACATCGGACACGGCCCATTCATCTGTGAGTGTGAGTGTGAGCCTCTGACCAAAAATCGGTTGATAGTTTGCTGTTTGAAAATCCAGAGACATAACCTCAGTCATGCTGAGAGGTTCTATGTCCCCCGGGGTACTGCCGGAACGTACCCTGGGTACGGTCCGGTATACCGGAACGTACCCTGGTACTATCTAATGTGCCGGACCGTACCTCGCCTACTCCACTAACGAGTCTAGGGAGTCGCCTACGCCTGCTCCCTAACCCGAACCCTAACCCTAATCCTAACCCTAACCATATCAAATAGTGACCAGGGTACGTTCCGGCAGTACCCTGGGGGACATAGACCCTATGAGCCTCAGTCATAGTCATTACAAAATTGATTCACAATCAGAGCTGTCCCGAAAAAGAGCTCCCAAAATTGATGAAATTGACAGACTTACTCTGTGGATTGCAGTAGAAAAGGTTGATAATTTTAGAATATTAGATTCTCTTCTCTTTCGGGGTAGTCCCTTGGACTATTAATGATATATTGGTTATGAGAGAGATGCGGAAAATAGCATGAGAGTAGGCGTGTACATGTGGTATATCACGACTGTTCCATGTCCTGGTATATCCTACTATGAAGTCACAAGTATTACATATAACAGAGACAACACGATACTTACAATGGAAAACGCATATTCAGTTTGATAGTGAGATATTTTACTTTTGTGAAAAATTTACAGTCGATTTGAAGTGAAACTATAACCATCGAATGGCCTCCGCACCTATTGGAGATCAATGCAACTTGTTTTCAAGCAAGACATTGTGCTAAGCTGGCGACAGTGATAGACAGGGCCTCACATTTCGGCACAGTATTAATTATACAACTACCCAACTAGTAAACAGAATTATACCTGTGTAATCTGGAACTAGATTTAATAAGCTACATATGCACTCGTTGGTATATGTTGATTAAAGCATTAATTAACATTTTTATTTCTACCGACTATATCTTGAAAAGCATTTGTATGTATATAGATGTTGTCAACCTGATGTATACGCTCTTGATACATTGGTTAACAGCTAGGGTGCAGTTGGACTAATAAGTTGCTCTAGAATTTGTTATAACCTAAAAATCTCTATAGGGTACAATTTATTGGTCCAGGGCATAGCTAGGTTTGTTTATTCACACATCTTATAGCCTGAGATTGTATTTACATATATGCTATTTGCCAACCATCTACAAAACTGGCATACAAAAACTCAGTTATATAGGTATATATATATATATATATATTAGCAATAGCACATTAACATCAATTATGTTTATCCTATGTTTATGTGCTCCCGATATTACTACGAATATATGTATAGAATATATATTACTACTATATGCTACACATATACTGATGATATTACGTATAGGCAGTTGTGCAACGACAACAACACAAATAATTATAGAAAAATAAAGTGTCAGGGATAGCTCGTTTTTCTTTATATAAACAGAAAAAAATCCTCAATAGCATTTTTTTAAATTTTAGGCTTAAATACTTGAGGGAAAGACGATTTCCCAGAGATTTTATAACCCCTGAGGTAGGAAGGGATATTTATCACGAAAATATAAATACACACTGACACATATATACAATATGTATACGACATTGATAATAAACTGTCCAATACTATAATTAATAGTACAAAAGCACTGAGGTGCAGCAAACAAGAAATGCAATTTAGCTTACTCACTTCCTGATCAAATAAACCATTTAGCTTACTGACCGTGTAAAAAAATCTCTGCTGCAGTCACGTACTACATCTCAAGCGAATATTATCTGGCCATATTATGTGCTGCCGTGGAATAACAAATACTAATGTTTTTTTGCTCTACGTTTTCCGACGTTGACATCTAACACAAATCTTCCATAATGTACAGTAACAGTAATGTACTATCAGTATGATACAGTGAACCAGGAAACGCGGCACGTCTATCACACATCATGTCAACATCAAACACAGCAGACATCACGTCAACACTGCATACATACATACATACATATCTGCATATGTGTAATTTTAGTTTATGGCTTTAAATATCACAAGCACCAATTCGTTGCCGTTTCTAACAACGCATTTTCTCAAAATTAATAACAAAATTACAAAAATTACACACAAACATTTTGATGCCTAATTCACAGAGTATGATAACCAGGAAGAATATAATTATTGTCAGCCAGAGTACATGGGGTTACGACGTGAACATGAATAAATTATTTATTTAAAGGAGCGGTATTATTATTCAATGCGAGGAAAAGTAGGTTACAATAGCAGGAGTAGTAACGAAGAAAAAAACGAGAAGGGGGAGAAGGGAAGAGATCCATGGTTGCTTTTACATGCTTAATAGTTCTTGTAAAAGTATTGTTTTTTTATACAAAAAAGCTAGAACTCTTGCACATTTTGTTTATGCAGTATCATTAAGTACATCCATATATTAGATAGCAGTGGCATACTATACAGCATTGTTTTTCGAATACATCAACAGTGAGTGGTACAGTTCACAATTTCAACACGCCTAGCGAATGCAGTGCACTACAATGATTTCCATGTAGAAAAACCGAGTACAAACTCAAGTCTCACATGATTTTTAAATACTTAAAAATTATTCATAAATAACACATATATCGCTGTAATCACATCAGAAGGATGCAGCGATGTTATTGCTTACGATGTTAGACACACGCATGCACGCTTGCACACGTATACATGCACTATCAAGTAATCATGTCTTTGCTATATATCGCAATATCGGCATATGAATCAGATCAACTTATGTGTTGAGGATACTGTATTTGTGCTGCCACCTATCGGGAATGGAAGTGAGGAAACAGAGTTTCTTGGGCAGTAGGTTTCCATGTTGTACTATTTTTAACTTTGTTAAAATGACAATCCCCACAATTACCAAAAGATAAGAGAGAGCAAGAAAGGGAGGAGAGAGAGAGAAAGGGGAGAGAGGCAGAGAGAAGGGGGAGGGAACGAGCATGCAATGCATTCACACGCCATGTACGATCCCAATCCTCTAACACCATTATTCAAGCAACACTAGAGCTACCTTCTAGCTGCAGCGATGACAGGTGCATTTCTATTGTAGTATCCTCCTGGAGGTGTCACGAGGTGACGGGTATTCCTAGCTTAGCGTCCTCCTTAATCTTCCATATCATCAGCTCTAGGCAGGCAACAGCATCCTCCTGACTATCGTGACCATCAACTGAAACAAAGCAAAGCCCATCGAAACATCGCAGTGTGGCAAACCACTCACGGATGAAAGTTTAACAACATTACAGACTTTAAAGCTCATCGTAAAGCAAAATCATATCACCACACGAAGGAGAAATAGCCTCATGCCTATCCATAGTAAGATCACAACACTAATACTATAAACACAATCATGCACTATAGGCTGCTACTCACTATACATCTTAATGTACATACATGTCAGTCTTCGATGAATTATTAACTGCACATACCACTGTCCTGAATGATCTTCTTCAGATGCTCGGCCATTAGGTTCCGCAGCGCTCGCTTAAATGGCGGCCCGAGTCGGTGCGGAAACACAACGGACGTGTCAACCTACAATAGCAACAAATCTCTAGCTACCTCTCTTTCCCATACTGTGAGGTAACACACAGGATGTGTCAACTGACAATAAGCATAAATCTCAAGCAATCAACCCTCGCCAAACCCAAACTTGAAGCAAACATTCTAAACTTCAAATGAACTCGATAGAATGCCGATTACCACAGATTGATGTACAAGCTTCAAGGCCATCAGGTCGCTCTCGAGGCTGTGTCCCATCAGTATGGTCTGCGCGTTAAACCGACTGAGAAGCACTGCTTGGACGTCACGCAGTGTGGTCGTCACACCCAGCATGTCCTCCTCCTTGATGCCACTGAACCTGTAAGCGCATTCCCCAATACGTGACCACCACCACCCGTGACAACATGCAGCTGCTATATGCTAGCATAATACATAAACGATATATATATATATATGATAGATATAGGATACACAGTATATATCTGTATAATGTATATCTGTAACTTGTAACACTTGAGTTCGTAATTATGGAGTCCTTGCATAGATGTACAACAATTGTATAATATGTATATGAGATGCAAAAGTCTGTGAATGTAGCAGTAGTCAACACACACACACACACATCACATGTCTACAGCAAGCTCAATGTAATTACCTCCGCGCAACGGAGGTCATGCAATCGGTCTCGTGTGTGTGTTCGTGTGTGTGTGTAGCGTTGGCGCGATCGATTCAGCAGCAGCTTGCCTTAGGGCGTCCAGTCAGCAGCAGCTCACCTTAGGGCATCCATTCAGCAGCAGCCAGCAGCGAGCCAGCTGTTATACACATACATGTTACATGCTCGCGGAGGTATGCACTCTCCGTGAGTGCCCTCTGTCTAGTTGCTGTATTTTTGTGTAGGTAGTGTTTAAGTACCTTGTGTTGAAATCAATGACAGGATGATCAGGCTTCACTAATGTTTCGTACACGGGCTTGCAATCCGATTCCACCACCGTCACTCTAATCAACTCTATTCCCTCTGTTGTGTAGGCCTAGCACAAACAAAGAACAAACAACTCCTTATTACGTTTACCTAGGCAGTGCCACCGTAACTAGATGCACTTATGCACGTGTGCCACGTACTAGATAGAGGTGTAACGAATTAGGGTCACGATACGATACGTATCTCAATACGTAGGTCATGATACCACGGTTCTCCCCATGATGAAATTGAAACAGAAGGAGGGGAGAGGGAGGGGGGGAGGGAGGGAAAGAGATGCAGAGAGGAGCAACGTAAAGTATGACAGGGAGGGAGGGAAAACTAGGGGGGTCGGGGGCGTGTTTTTTTACCGTACCACTAATTAATGCGAAAAATTGCCACTACACCATAGACGGTATTTGGGGTTCTTATATATATAAGATAGCCGAGTCGGTGTACAGTTAGTGTTGGGTTTGGGACAGGTTGACTGTTTGTAGTTGTGTGTGGTCTGCAGTGCATGCGTGGTACGGGGGTCCTGGTCAAATGGTACTTCTTGACGATCGATTCCCGCGCTGTCAAACTTTTATTGTGGTGGAATTTAATTGGGGCGGAGGTAATTTAAACGGGGCGCAACGATTGAAAGAGGGGGGAGTTTTCCCAAATGGGGCGCGCGCGCCCGGTTTGCGCAACGTAGGGAGAACCCTAGATGCGATACGTATCGCAATACATAGACAGAAAAACAATATATAATCGTGTAAAGAATAGACTTCAAAGTCCAAGGGACTGTATCGAAGATACTACGTGAGATTATTATTATAAGATTACACGTAAATATGTAAGATTAATATAACATACCATTTCACAGTCTAGTGCATATACTCCGAAATTTCCATCCAGTGGTGGTGTCTTCGGCAATGTTTTGACAAATCCTGTCAAGCTCTTTACGTCAATCACGTGCAGCTGAAATTGTAGTCCAACATAACTGCATAACCAACAACATGGATAGACAGAAAACAGAGCACATCACTGTTAAGTAGGTGACAAAACAAAAACAAACAAAAACAACAATTGCATCACTAAATGCATATATTGAACTCGTTTGTTTGCATGTAGATAAAATGGAAATCCTCATAAATTTCCAAATATATGTCATATGAACTGACATATACAGAAATTTCCAAGGGTGTGTTGTCTGTGAAGGCAGGTATATCATAGTCACACTTGGAATAATATTTAACGACCATGAAAATATGTTATGCGTATACATAAATTGCGTGCGAAAATCAGTAGTAATATAATGATCTATAAGACCATACCTTATTAACTGAACAACCTTCCGAGTTGGAATCACCTGAACAGCAGGTATAGCTTGTGATCCATGCTCCAGCAACTGAAATTATACGGACATATAAGGCACGGGTGACATGAGCTGTCAAACATACCTTGAATTCGTTAAAGCCAAATCAACTTAATAAAATGAGATATATATAGATATATATATATAATTGTGTAGTACAGTTAGGAACACAGCTACATGCACTACAACGCTGTTATGCACGGCCCACTCATCCAACCCACTGAGAAAATGAAACAGTTATTAGATAATTAGAGGATAATAGGAATAATGAGAATTTTATCCACATTATTTTTGTAATTGCAACTATCACAATTTTGTATTCACACTCCAATGATTTCTCGCACGATGAATTATTAAGCGTTGAGGTCTTTTGCGATGTGAACAACATGCCTTTTTTCTTCCAGGGTCGACCCCAGTGGTAAACACACTCGTCTTTGGTGACGTATCGTCCCTTTGCATTGACTCTGAATCGATTTCCACATCTGCAACACAGCCTCTCCAGACCTGCCAAGATGCAGTAACAATATAACTGCTTCGTTGCCAAGACAATCACCCAAGTTGCCTGTGCCTTAAAATACAACATGGTACAATAATCTTTGACTATCTCAGTCATTCACACCTTCCAAACAGTTTATTTATCTGCCAGAGACATAAACATGTTGCTGAACTTATGAATGTGAATATTACTTATATTAGATATAACTCCAGTATATACCTGCTTTAAAAGAAAACAGCTTATAACTCCTGTATGGAAAACAGTTTATAAAGCATGTTGCCTTCTTCAAGTACAGGTCAAAAAACTTTTTGAGATTTAGGCAGTTTCACACACATGTGCGCACACATGAAAAGAAACGACGAAAGAAAGACAGGGAGTAGGAATGATGACTTACTGTTCGCGGAGCCAGCCGACTTAGCTTTGGTTGTCGTCACCAGCACAGCACAGCCAGGCTTGTCGGGCGACATGAACGGGAACCCATTATCTTCTAGTTGTTTCTCAGTCAGTAAGTATGGCTTCAGCTGCTTGTACAGCTCAGCCTCTGTGAAGAAATAAATCTCTATATATAATATTTGCAGAACGTAAAAATTCCATAGCCGCACGGCAAGCACAAGACTGCATTTGGTTCTCACCTCACAGCATTGGTTTAGAAATCGCATGATCAGTTATGCTGAATACCTGACTGTAGTGTTTAACCCTGAGGTCAACTGAAACGTAAACTAACCGGTCCATGAACATAAACAGAAAGTAGAACAGAAACGTATTGCGTATACACTGTGAGCAGATTGGCGGGAGCTTGTGAATAAAGCAGCATGGTGTTTGGAACCGATTTTATTGTCTGAGTAATGACCAGGACTGAAGCAGTTGTTCAAAAGTGGATAATTCAGTCATATTCACTGCTGATTCTGAGAGTAGACGAAATGGGAGGTAGGCACGGAGAGTGTCGTGTGCACCTGCGAAATTCCGTGACTTTGTGAAAATCTAGAGTCAGTATAGATTCACTATTATACATCAGTACTATGTTATAAGAGCTGAATAATTCCTTATAGTAACGATTAGAACTATTAGTCAGTCTACGGAAATGTTAAAGTTCATGTTTAAGTTGAACAGTTTGTGACTATCGCTACTACAAGTACAGAGGTTGTTAGTAGTTAGTACAAGTACAGTATAGAGTTATAAGTCGAGTTATCCTGTGTGTTAGTTTGAGATTTGTAGAGTTGTATTGCTTAGTTGACTGAATAGAAGCCACATAGAAGCGTGTTATACTAGTGTTAGGATGAACATCGTATTATAAAAGGCTTAGCATACCAGTTACAGGAATGTAGGTTTAAAGATATATATGCGGGTGGTTGGAACCGATTTTATTGTCCGAGTATTAAGGTGGTTTAATCCGGTAGTAAAGTCTACACTGACCATGATGCTAGTAATTCAAAATGGCATCCTTACCAGTAGATAAATCCAATTGTGCATGTTTTCCCGATCTGTTTAGTGTGTATGTGGTCTTCGTGGCTTGTCTCCCACCCAAGTTCTCTTCATGAGTTGGCTGCTTTGACACACATTTCGAGTTTTGTTTTTTAACATCAGATGGCAGCACCTGTCCGACTTGGTCTCTTAGACGCTTGAGTGCATGCACTGCGACATTGAGGTAGACACCTTTCGTAGAACTGCGATCGTAAACAATCTTCTCTTCATCCAATCCCTGGAAATAACAAAGATATACTTTGCTGTAGGATTAAAGCTATTATGTTGCGGTTTATTTGCTACGAGGAAATGTTTCAAGATAGATTCTCTTTGATATCACCGCTTGATACTTATATGCCACCTGAGAAACACTTTGTCTATACATCACCTTCTTATGAGACTCCGCCTCATTGCTACAGATACGAATGTACTCATCAATGAATAGGTTTAGGTATCTCTGTCTGATGTTGGTCGCTACTTTACTTCCATAGTCCGATGGGATCGTCGGTCGTGCTAAAACAGCCTGCAAGAATTCACGTTCAGAAATAAAATACCGCTAATAAATCCGTTTAGCGCAGAACGAGTCGTTTCAATGTAAATTACCATACGGTTTAATAACAACTCATTGAGGCCTCTCGACGATGCACTCAAGACATTTTAGTATTGAAATACAGTTTCCTTACAAATCTATTTACATACCGGCAGTGGAGTGTGCGCCATTCGCTGAGAACCCTTGGCTATAGTACGGCCTGCAGTCCTATCTTCCGGACGTATAAGCTGCGATCGCTTTTTCAGTGCAGTGATGCCACGAGCAGACGCTGTTTGCATAGGAGTGTGCTGTAATCGTTTCTTTCCCGAATTCGTACCGACACCGCTTGCAATCTACAATGCAAAGATTATTCGAACTAAAAATAACTGTTGTATATATATACATACACGCTATATCGAAGCAGAGAAAAAACATTATTAAAGTAACTCGCCTTCCTGACCCTTAACAAGTGCCGCAGAGCGACAGCGCTCAACTGACGTGTACTGTAGCCGGGTACACTTCTGATAAAATCACTGGCAACCGAATCAAGTGCGCCCTCCCGCCACCGCGTTCGCGCTCAGAGCATATATCTAGGATACTACTAATACAGATCTAAAATCTATGATAGGCTTTGCTATACCGGTAGTACAGTAATAAAGATAGAGCTGTGTAACATTAATGACTTCGCTATATTAACATGTTATCAAGGATTATGCATCGAGCGTGAGCGTAGTGGTGGTGGTGGGGGATGGTGGGGGTGGGGCGGGGGGGGGGGGGGCTCTAATAGCAAAAGCAGTTTAGTTCTTTGTTGACAGTCAACAAATCCATGTTTAACCCTCCTCTTGAGGGTCAAAAGGTTATCAGACACTTACTCTTCGCACTTCCAGCGGAAAGTACATTTCATGGTCCTTTCAATAAACTGATAAAAATGGTAGTTCAGCGCTGAAACAAAAAAGTTTTTCATTCGGTCCGTGTCCTCAGAAAATGTCTGATATCTGACCTTTCCCCCACTGCCCTTTGACATGTGACCTTCAATTTCACGCTGGTGATGGGTTTCCTCCCCATCACACTATACATCGAATATTAAGAGCGTAGGTCGAGCTGTTGAGATTTGTGCCGCAATTCCGTATTTCCTCCTATATACCTTAAGTTAAGGGGGAAATATTCCCCCTCCATTGACACATCTTGACCTTTGACCCTTAACCCCCAAATTCGCCATGCTGAGTCCTTTTCGCGATCCCCCCCGATGTCCCGAATATCAAGACCGTACGTCAAGCGGTAAAGATTTGTGCCCAAACTGTTGACACACGGACGGCCGGACGGCTGGACGCACGGACGGACATTCATGCAATTCTACAAGCTGCATCTGACTTCGTCAGCTGAGGTAAAAATTACACTACCTACATATTCTAGGATAGTGAACACTGTATCTAATTCATTTTATTCCTTATAAGTGTGCACATACATGTGCTTATCCACATACACATATCTTTGGATATATCATGCTTAAACGCAAACACTACGTTTTTTGCCTGTGTGGCTCCAATTATCATTAAACAGAACATATTTCAATGCACTATACCCGTGGTTCTTAACAATTTTTTAGTCATGAACCCCTTTGAGAATCTGGTGAATGCTACAGACCCCTCCCTAGAAAAATGCACATAAACACAAAATTTTACATGCGCCTGGTTCACGGACCCCCTGCAGCTCCATCCACGAGGTTAAGAACCCCTGCACTATACCATAGGTCTTGCTGTTGTAGTAGTGGGAGCATGGAGTGAACCTATAGACCCGCTAGCTGATGATGACGATGGCAGCACGCTGGACGACTGCTTGCGAGGGACAGTCTCCGCGTGACTGCGCTTGGCCTCGTTGGCAGCTTTCTGCAACTGCAGGAATCGGTTGTGCATGACCTGCGCAGGAGACAGCCTGCAGTGCGGCCGCTGCTTGATCAACTTGGATCGTGCCTGGTAACAGAAAAACAGTTCTCAGTTCTCACCAGAACTCCTAATAACCAAGCCACCAATGAACAGGAGTTTCCAATACCAGCCATTTTCCATTGTGAAAGTGGGCTTACTTGGGATTCCCCTATGAATGGGTGGAAGGACAAATTGTTTACAAAGTGATCGGCTATATGAAGATGCAGCTGGTATACACGTGTACTCATTATGTACATGTGGTACTCACACCACCATCTGTGCTCGGGTGTGCGTGCCTTTGCCTCCCCGACACGCTGCTGGATGCTTCAGTCTCTTGCTTTTTAAATTTATTAACCTGAAAATTCGTGACAGAACAACTGCATTTATATACATTACATATATACATTATAACATTTATTCCATACATTAAGTATTAAATACTCAGTAAAAAATAAGGCTCTCACTGCACACTTAACTACAATCCTGTGAAGTAATATAAGCAAGATGATAAATATATATCATGTGCACTTTATTAATGAGATTATCTGAATGAAGGCTGACACTTCTTTCTTAACCTATCTTAACATTTATAGTTAAACAGGTTAATTTTTGTACCTGTCTTACACGGCACATACAAGTTACAACCCTTACCACATTTGAATAAGCAGAGCATATTCTTACCACACTTGGTGTTGACTGGCTACTCTTTGGCTTAACCGGCTCCTTGAAAATTTTCAAGCATTCCTCGTAAGTATCATGACTGTCGAGATCAACATCTAGCATGTTGGCAGCATCGTCGCCTCCACTCTCACCATCACTGATCACCCAGACGTCGTCCTCAGTGTCTGAAGAAATCTCGTATATGTCGCCCTTGCTGTAGGTCTGCATCACTTGCTCACAGCCCTTCTCATCGTTGGGTTCGGCCGACGCGTCTGTCATGAACGAGTCGAATATATTTGCCGTGTTGCTGTAGACAGGGGTGTGCGCGGCCTTGTGCTTCTTTGAGCTCGGCATAGAAGCAACCTCATGTGCGTCGCTCAAGAGATCGGCGGACGATCGCTTGCGAGTCTCGATCGCCGGCTTGTCCCGTCTCTGGTGAGAACGCGAGGCTTCACCGGTCTTCAACGGCTTCTCCTTCCCGCCAGAAGAGCTAGTCTTTCTGTCCGACTCCGAGACAGATGTACCGCGATGTCTGTCGCTCGATTTCACATGCTTGTGCTCGTCACCTTTGGATTTCTCGCTCGCACTACCGGCGTCTTTTTTCGTCGCGCTTTTCGGCTTGTCGTGACTTTTTAATTTGTCACTTTTGTGATGGCTGGTGCTGCTTTTGTTCACATCACTTGGCACATGGACTTTAGCGCTACTCTTGTGTGATGAAGAGGAAGAACTTCTGTGATGAGAATGTCTGTGCTTTGATTGAACTTTATCGGTCGAGCTATGCATTTTTTCATCATTTGTGTCGTTTGTGTCGCTCTTAATACGGTTTCGCGTTTCCTTGATTAACTTTTCACCATCTTTTTCATCACGTTGATCTTTGGAAGAGTGTTGCTTCTTTTGCTTGTGGCCAGGCTGGGATACTTTATGGTCATTTGATTTTTTATTACGAGGTTTGACACTTAACGACTTAGATTTTCCATCCTCATTCATCACATCAATATTGAGAGAGACATGCATCTCGTCATTAACTGTAGCAGACTCTTCTTGAGACCGATGCTTTTTATCACACGTGACCTTGCACTCAGCATCAGCAACCTCGTCAGCACTGAACGTGGCTTCATCAGATACTAACCCTAGGGAATTGTGCTCGACACTCTGCTCGACTGCAGGTATAGTTGATACTGCATTGCTTCGGTAATTCACCAAGGGATCGTACATATTTGGTGCACATGGCCTAACTACATCTATTGAGTATTTACTGGATGACTTACAAGAAGGGATATACTCTATGTCACTGTCTTTCTTGCGGGGCGATTCCCCCGTACAGCCTTCGCTCATGGGATCATACTCTTGTTCACACTTAATCTGCCCTTCAGCCGTAGACGTGGCATCCATATTGCATTTATTAGTGGAGTATGCATCATTAACGCTGTACTTGTTTGTGCTCACAAACTCTGGACTATATTCATCCTCAGCTGCAGGCTTGCTATAGAGCGAAGTGTATTTCTTAGATGTAGGAACGTACTCCTGATATTTACTATCGGAATTCACACTGCTTTTAACAGTATCCACATCCCTAGCATCCTTCAGAGATTTGCTGATCAATGTAGGATCATATTCCGAATCAGACTGACTCTCCGGGGCAACGCTCGCTGAAGTGGTGGGAACGTATTCCTGTGGTGTGCTTGCTACGGGATCGTACGGCATGTCAGAATCACTTGCTGATGTAACAGTGGGTACATATGTGACCACGTCGCTCGATTCTCTGTCTCCTCCTGCAGGGATATAAGCTTCATGCTTATGAACATCACTGCCCACACTCTTACATTCTTTTGGATCATAGGCATCGTGTTTTTTGGTGCCAGAGATTCGGACACTACCGGCTGACTCCGGATCATAAGGTTCGTGCTTACTACTGCTGGAACTTCGTGCATTGTTGGTAGCAGTTGGGTTATAAGCCTCATGTTTGCTGCTATCATTCTTGGAGTTTTTCCTACTTTCGATTACGTTGATAGCAGTTGGACTGTAGGGTTCATGCTTGCCCTCTCCATTCTCTGAACCTTTTCTAGTTCTGTTACTTTTGATTGTAGTTGGATCATATTGTTCATGCTTGCCTTCATCATTTTCTGAATTGTTTCTGCTTCTGACACTCTTGACTGCTGTTGGGTCATAGGCTTCATGTTTCTCTCTAATTGAGCTTTTGCCGCTCCTGTGCGATTCCGAAGATGTGCGCGTCGGCTTATACAGTGGCCCCTTGGGTGGCGAGCTATACGGTGGGATATACTTTTCTGTATTTCCATCAGGATTATATTCAATACGTGAGGACTTTCCCACATCCCTCCCAACCTTCTGCCTGAGTTTATTTAAAGGGGTTGGCCTGTACTCAGGAACGGACGATTTGCTCCTCGTCTTTGCAACTGTTGGTCTTCTGTTGCGTTCGTGCAGTGTACTATCATCCGTACCTTGCTTACATTTTTGTAGCTTAGCTAGTGGAGTTGGCTGATAGGTTGTGTTGAGTGCCTTTTTGGACTGTTTTAAACCATCAGGGGTTTTACTGTAACAAAAAAACAATGTAATTAATACTCATATCTTTATACTAATACTTACACGTCCACTGACAGGATAGGTATAGCCTTACATGTTATTCGCTACGTAATGTCGGGTCGCATGTAAGTTCTACTACTTGTGCCACCTCCATTAAGTTTTTATCTATTTCTAATACAGGAGCTCCCCTACTTACAAACAGGATAGGTTCCTGGGGTTTGTTTGTAAGTCCAACATTACTCTTATAAATACTGAATACTGTATACAGCATTGTAAAAAAACGGTTTGTACAGTACAGCTATACCCCAATAATACTCGCGGTATATTTTACCAGCCTTAAACAGTATTACTTAAAGTCTGAGGAACAGGGACTGGGAATGACCTTAAAGCTGTACTATGCGCATCCAAACGCTAATTTCTCCAGTACTAGACTAGCAAATACTTCGTGTCATGCATAATCACACTACCTTATGACAAAATAAACTCTAGTTCCTCCCATTTCACTGCGTGTTGTCTTATAAAAGGCATTTGAAAATACCTCCAATGTTGTTCAAATTCTCCGATGTTGTTGACACTTTCGCGTTGCTCTGCCAAACAACCGTGGAGCAGTGCTGCAGTACGGGTGTAGCAAAGATAAAAACATGTGACGTCACCTAACCGATTCTTGGCCAAATTGTTTGGCAAACAATTTAGCGTTGGCACCAGATTACCAGATTTCGCACCTCTTTCTTGTGGGTTTTAAGCAAACGCACACTGAAATGGGAGGAACTAGTTTATTTTACCATAAGGTAGTGTGATTACGCATGACACAAAGTATTGGCTAGTCTAGTACTGGAGAAATTAGTGTTTGGATGCACATAGTGCGGCTTTAAAGGTTGTATAACCTCCTGTAGATGTAGATGGCTTTTGTTTGTGTTGGTCTCGTCTCTTGGTATTGCGCGGCGGTTGAACTTCCGAACCAGCGTAGTGTTTAAAAATTGAATTTACAGACACGTTTATTCGTATCTCTGAATGTTCGTAACTTGAACGTTTGTAAGTAGGGGAGCTCCTGTATATAAACTTTCTCACCTGTTTGAGTTGACCTGCTCCACAACACGCTGCATCTGTCGAATAGCACTGCTGACCATGTGCACCAGGTCCTCCGATCCGGGTTCTCCCACAGCACGCCCATCCTTCTTTGCTGCACCAACAACCAAGGATGCGGCTTCTGCAAAGACACGATTTCATCGAACCTCAACGTCAGAGTTTCCAGACTATGGCTAAGGTCTAGGCTTATTTAGTATGGTAGTGGCAGTAAGACTAGGTGTTTACTGCTACATGCAGAAATGGAAAATGGTAGTAATAACAATTCACTTTTTTTATTAAATTCGTTGTACAACAAATAATTCACACCAGATTGTCTATCGGGGAGACTATGGTCTGGCTTGTTAACTGTATGCCTGTAATGGCAGTAGGGTCGCTCGCAAAGTCCACTTTTGAAGTACGGACAGGTCACACTTCTAAAATACCCAGAAGATGGAAGCATGATCAGGAAGCTAAGGTTTGCGAAATATACTGGAAAACTTCAACAGCACATAAATCTGCATAAGTGCAATTATTTCATTTTGAATGCAACTCTTTGAGAATTGCTACTTCTTCTCGGCCATATTTGCCTATCGTTTGCCTCTCTTTCATGTGCGTTCTAGAAATAAACAAAAGTTTATTTTTATATAATTAAAAGGTGTATTCCATAAATTTCAGTGTGTATGTATGTGTGGCCCCTAGCTACTAGAGGTAGTTAAAAATTTACGCATCCTGAGACGAGCTCATATAAAATAAATTGAGCTGGTAAACTATTTTATTTTATGCGGTGACGTCACTAGGCCTATAACCCACTGCCCAGTTGAAAAGTTAGACGGTTAGTTACCGGAAAGAATCAAAATTGTGTGTTTTGACGTTATTTACAATATAATCCGAAGCCGCACACGGTAAGAGCCAACGTAATAGAGTAATGGGTAGATATTTGCTTTACGCTGAACCAGACGTAGTTGCATAAGAGCAGTAACTGCAAATGCCGAACTGTTACGCCGTGGATTATCATTCTGTTGTGTTGTGTTGTCGTGTTGTAGGCCTATCTTGTACGCTGTGGCTATATGCCCGGCAGCCGTCAGATATATGCCGGCTGCCGGGCATATAGCCACTCTGTATCTCGTATCGGTGCACCCTCTCTTCAGAATCTTGTATTTCACAAGGCACTCGATTCAACGAGGTGCGGAGATTATCTAGAGAAAAATGAGATTAATGCCGCCTCTAATTCTCTAAATGTTAGTGTTTCGAATCACCAGAATTTTCCGCACATAATCTAACGCTGGTTTCAATAACCCGTGGTTGTTCCCTCTCCAGCCTTCTATTTGTTGTCCATCCTTATATTTAATAATTTATTACTAGCTGCGGGTACCCGCTGCGCTGGGTAAAATCGTGCTACTAATTCATAGGGGTGAGTATTGCGACCAAAAACCGTATTGCAATATATTGCAATACGACAAAACCGTATTGCAATATTTTCCAATACGTATTGCAGTGCTCGAAATAAGAAAAAAAAATGTGGTTGTCCTGCGGACAANTTTTTCACTCATTTGGTGAATTGTAACCAACAAATCTAAGATATTTTGATACTGTTAGTGTTAGGAGTGCCACAAAAGAGTAAAACGAGGATAATTATTTATTTTCTGGTACCAAATGAGTGTAAAATGAGTGTATTTTAATATATATATATACTATGTATACGGATATGTACATGTTTACATAAAAACTACATGTTACATGTTTACATAAATTCGAACATGCATGTGTCTAAAAACCTGCTAGAGTACTTGCATAACTGATTTTCATTAACTTAAAACTCAATTATTCGATTTCTTCGGTAGAACAGCTATCATTACCAGGCGGCATTAAGGTGTTGAACAACAGTAGAGGGCGTCCATAGGCTGCAGGCCTGAATAAGCATCGAACATAAATTAATTAAAAATACGCACGCTGTTACTGCGCTTACAAAACATACACTTTATTCATGTTAAATAACTACAGATTCGTGCTCTATGCTCCGCTCGAAACTTTTGCCAGCTCTATGATGCGAATTTCTACAGAGTAGTCGGATCCCGTTTCATACACAAAAATGGCCGACCGGTGACCATGGCTACGTACGCCACTAGCTGGAATGGCACAATTACACAACACGAATAATTTTACTTCTAATGCTTTCTAGACGTCCACGAGGCATCTACCTTGCGTGCATCATGCAAATTATTGCACTCTAGTGCCGAATTTCGGCGAAGAAAAATGCCAAAAAAGGCTTTTTTTAGAGACGAAATAGTGCAACGGTGAACAATTGCGGATGCTTACTGTTGTACACCTCCTTAACGTAGCTGTTGTGTATCTTGCATCTTCTTGTGTGTATGTGCGCACCCCACTAACCGCTGCGGCAGGGGTAATGCTATCCCCCGGGCGTGGAGGGACACCGCAACGTGGCAGCACTAGTATTAGGATTAATATTATTAGTATTAGTATTAGTATTAGTATTAGTATTAGTATTAGTATTAGTATTAGTATTAGGTTAGGGTTAGGGTTAGGATTAGGGTTAGGGTTAGGGTTAGGGTTAGGTTTGGGGTTAGGGTTAGGGTTAGGGTTAGGGCTAGAGTTTTTGCATCATGATATCTGTCCCCACACCATAGATTAATTTTTGTGGATCACACCCCCTATATAAAGCGCTCCGAGATATATATAATTAGTGTTAGGGGAAGAGTTGTAGGTGTTGGAGTTAGGGTTACCGGATGAGTAATGATTTTGAAGTATACGTCAACTGTATCACGTGACCGTCCCTCCACGCCCGGGAGATAGCAACACCCCTGCGGCAGAGGGTGGGCATATGTTTCCATTAGCCTGACTGATCGCGTGACGTCAGTGTACGTCACGCACGAACTCGGCTATCTCCGAAGTTGAATGCATGTACGCATACAGCCTGCTGATCGTTGCGCATGCATCAGACTTTTCGTATATATTAAAGAATGATGCAAAAACCCTAACCCTAACCCTAACCCTAATTAAATTGAATTAACACTAATAAATTTAATTTATTTAAAAAAAAGAAATGTTAAATTGTAAATAAATCATGTAAATATTTGCGTTAATTGGGGAAAAATAGTTAAATGGATAAAGATGAAAAAATAAAAAAATAAAAAATGTAAACAGATGGGATTCGAACCAACGCCCTGCAGAAGTAACGGCCGCCGGCGTACAAGCACGGCTACTCAGCGTCTTTAGAAAACGTATTATGGATGTGCTATATATGCATACATGGATGTGCGCGCGTGATTGGTCTATGGTGGTGGATAGCCACTGACGTCACACTGACGTACACTGACGTCACGCAATCAGCCGGCCTAATGGAAACATATATCCACCGCGGCGGTGCTAACCTCACAATCCTGCGATCGAGTTTGAAGCCCGGCTTGTAACTGCCGGGGGGGGGGTTAAAAACACAACGCAGGGTAGAAATTGGTACGCAAGGTCGATTACGATTTAATCGGAAAGACTAAGAGGTAAAAATGTTACAAATGGTGCGCGTGATCAGGATTGTGAGAGTTAGGTTAATTGCTGCGTTGAGTTTGTAATTGTTTGATTTTGACAATTGTGTGAATACGATTAATTATTATTCAGAATTATAAATAATAATTATTGATAATACTCGGGTAAGATAATATAAGAGGAGTATGACTCTGCCAAAACATGTGAATCTTCAACATTTGCTTGCCTAATTTTACCGATGCATATATTACGTGCAACTCGATAAAAATTACATCTAAATGAGCGTTGGACCTCCGTCTCTAACTAAAACTTTTATTTGTTTAAATACCTCTTGCCTTTCACGGAGATATATAGCTTTGAACGTCACACATGGTTCATAGTGTTTAACTAGCTGGCGCTGCTCAGATTGCCCAGATAGCATCCGAACAGTGGCTAGCCTGTGAGGAATGGTCTTGTCTGTTGACAAGAATGCCACTGTTGGCGCAGGAGTAAGATAATATAGACTTCTATATTATATTCTATATTATATCATACACACTATATATATTATCCTATATATATATATATACACGTAATATATACACACACATATTATACACACTATATATATACACACATATACTATATTATCTTATATTATATAATGTCATATATTATCTTACTCCTGCCGCCAACAGGTGGCATCTTGTCAATAGACAAGACCATTCTCACAGGCTAGCCACTGTTCGGATGCTATCTGGGCAATCTGAGCCGCCAGCTTAGTTAAACACTATGAACCATGTGTGACGTTCAAAGCTATATCTCCGTAAAGGCAAGAGGTATTTAAACAAAGTAAAGTTTTAGTTAGAGACGGATGTCCAACGCCTCATTTAGATGTAATTTTTATCGAGTTGCACGTAATATATCATCGGTAAATTAGGCAAGCAAATGTTGAAATTCACATGTTTTGGAGAGTCATACTCCTCTATATTATCTTACTCCTGATAATATCATAATTAATATCATAATTGTCAATTAATAATTATCATAATTGTTGGTAATAATTATGATATTTATGGTGTGAAGTATATTAATTAACATGTCGGTGAATAGTGATGGACCGCGGGGGCAGAGAACATCAGGGAGTAGTCGTTCTCCCTCGCTTATTGTCCCGCTAAGCAGGACGTCTTTACAAGGAGGGCAGGGTGAAGTTCCTCGATTTGGAGGAAGTGCAGCCGCCCCTCAGTTTGCTAGCGTAGCTAGCGAGGAAGGAAAAAGGGAGCATACCGTTGGGTTGTAAGCCTACATTAGCAAAGGAGACGCGATAAACGCCCAGTGGGATGGGGCTGTAGAATACATCCAGCGTTTTAACCTTGTGCGTTTCGTAAAAAGCGAATAAACAAGCGTATCGAGGTTGCAAAGTCGCTTCCTCTGGTAGAGTAGGTGGGTTGTCGCTGGATGCGGTTTTAAATTATCTCCGGCGCATGCGCGGGAAACGACGGGATCAGTTTGTGACCCGCTTTTCGCGTCGTGTTGGTTGGTGGGCTAAAAAGGGATGTAGAGAAGCTTAGTGGCCGCCATTCAGAGGGAAGACAGGTTACTTTTACAGTTAGGTCTTCTTGTTACAGAAGAAGCCGGCTCGGGTAGCTGTCACGGGCATCCCGACGCATAGATTCGCTATCATTGCTAAGTGACCGAGGAAATGTGTCACATTTGTTACCGTAAAGATAATCAGCGGATCTTTTTGCTATGCGCATTACACGGGAGTGAGTTTTCTTGAACAGTTCAGAAAGTTATAGAGCGAAGTAAGACGTGCGAGCTATATGCTCATGCCGTCAATCCGCGGAGTAGCTAATGGATTTGCTCTGAACAGTATGTTCGAGGAAAAGGAAGTTCGATTTCAGTCTCTTTAATTTTAACGGTATACCGTACCAGAAGGGCACCGGACACATGATTTTGATAGGCTGTTGATCGCGAAAGCGAGCGTTCTGGCAACATGCGCAGGACAGGAAAGAAAATTTTTAAAGTTTCATGAGCCAAATGTATACATGTCGTTGTATGTTGCAGTTGTGGAAACCGGTAAGCCACCGGAGGAAGTGTTCAGACGAA